CGTCGAACATGGTACGCGGATTCCCCTCTGGTGGCTCGTATGTGAACTAACAAGGCATGACAGGAACGTATCATGAAAGCCCAGGCGCTTCGTGACTCGTCGATGTCGTCCTACATGGCGTCGAAGAAGACGCTCGAGCTGAACCCGACCAACGCGATCATCAAGGAGCTGAAGCGCAAGGTCGCAGAGGACAAGGGCGACAAGTCCGTCCGGGACCTGACGTACCTCCTGTTTGAGACGGCGCTGCTCACCTCTGGGTTCGCCCTCGACGAGCCCACATCATTCGCCAAGCGCATTCACCGCATGATCTCGTGAGTCTTTTTGTTTTTGCTTTGTGCGTTGCTTTGTGACTGACCGTGTTCCGATAGGCTGGGTCTGGACGTCGACGACGAGGAGGAGGAGACCGCTGGCGCCGTCGAGGACGACGATGCACCGCCGCCATTGGAGGGGGCCTCGACGTCGGCGATGGAGGAGATTGATTGATTATTTCTCGTATACTACACTCACTCGCATTTCTTGTTTTTTGCTGTCCACGAAACCAAATCAACATTTTTTCTATTTCTACCTTTGTGACTCGAGGGCCTCCCACATTTACCGCTGTGACTCGAGCGCCGTGGAAAAAGATGTGAAAGCGATCGAGACAATGGTCTCTGACTCGTCGTGACCCGGATCACGTTAGCGTGTGCTTTCTCTCACTACCAGCAGAGTCAGCGCTAGAGCCCCATTGTTCTCCTTAACCGCTCGCCGCACGGCCATGATCCCTTAAAGACACTTCACGACACCCACTGTATTCTTTATTCGCCCCAGATGCTCTCCGTTGTAGCCCCTCAGCCCCGTCTGCCCGCCCCAACAACCTCTGCTGCTGCCGCTATTTATTCCATGGTTCGTGCCTCGTCCGTGTGTGCGCCTGGCCCCTCAGTTTGCCCCACAGATGACCCCACCACCGCTTGTTGTGTTGACGCCCCAACGACTCCAGTCGCCGATACTGCTAGACCCGCGACTTCGCTCGGTACGCGTTTTTCTTCCTCTACTGCGGCCACAGCTCACCCTTCTCCTCTGCAGCCTGCTCGGTCCCAGTGCAGCCCTCCCCATCGCAGACGCACCGCTCGTACGCGTCGCCGTCGCCACTGCGCGCGTACAGACTGCCATGTCGAATCCGCCCTCCACCCCTTCGATCGTCTGCCATGGATATCCGCTATGGATACCCTCCCCGACGCGTTCGATCTCGTGGACATCGCAGATCTTTCCCAGCTTGTCATCGACGAACCCATGAGCCAGTGTGGTCCAGTCCCGCCTGGCTCGGGGCCTATTCGTCGTCGCAAGACGTCCCTGCGCTCGAATCCCCTGGCTCCCAAGCCTCCGCCATTGCATCAAGTTACGCCACCCCATACACCCATCTCACACATTAATCACTCTCGCATCCACTTTCACAATCTTATGCCCGTGTTTTCTTGCGATCACAACGCACGGTCCTAATACGCGCACCAGGCGCTGACCACTCTACTCTGCATTCGACCCTCATAATCTCATCATCGCCGCATTGCACCATATCTTCGACAATAATCTCCAATCTTCGCTATCTATGCCATGGCCTCATCGCTCGATGTATTCTCAATGTTTTCCCCCATCTGCATCCTCATTTATTGCTCGAACGAATTTCGGAGAAGTATATATCCCACTAGTATCGATTTCTTTTTGCTTTCCGCACCCATTTGTTGCCACCTCAGTATAAAGCTGATGTTCTGAATACCTAGATACTGCCACATGCATAGTTACTTACACCCGTACTCTCAACTCGATTGCTATGACTCTAAATCTCGCTGTATACTATTACATGACCAATGACTCTGAGAATAAAGTTTAAACCACGACTTCGTCTCTCTCGACAAACTCTCGTGCGTCGTTCGACCTCTTGGCAACTTGGCTATTGAAACTTCTCGTCTTCTCTCATCGTGACAGTGACAACATCCATTCATTCCATGTCGCGACCTACGAACTTCGGCGCAGGCCCTTCTGCGTTGCCAGAATCGGTTTTACACCAAGCTGCTCGAGGTCTCCTCGACTTCAATAACACTGGAATAGGGATCGCTGAAATTTCTCATCGTTCGAAAGAGTTCACCGCCTTTCTTGCGGACACTGAGAACCTAATTCGCACCCAACTGGACATTCCTCAGACCCACAGCGTCTTGTTTACCCAAGGAGGAGGGTCAGCCCAGTTTTCTGCTGTTGTACTCAACCTTCTCGCCCGACACCGTCTTCTCCACCCCGATCGCACCAATGCCGAACGCGCCATGGACTATGTCATCACTGGCTCCTGGAGCAAAAAGGCGGCCGAAGAGGCGCGGAGACTGGGTGGCGGCACCGTCAACGTCGCGGTCGACGCCCGCGCGTACTCGAAGGATGGCCGGTCCTTTGACGGCATCCCCACTCACGACACATACACCTTTTCCCCCGATCCCGCGTTGATCTACTATTGCGAAAACGAGACGGTGGATGGCGTGGAATTCTCGAACGACGCAACGTCCGCCGCGTCCTTCCCGTTCCACCTCCTACCGAAGGACACGCTGCTGCCCCTCGTCGGCGACCATTCCTCGTCGTTCATGTCGAGGCCTATTCCGCACCTCGCCGAGCACGCCGTGATTTACGCCGGCGCGCAGAAGAACATTGGTCCGGCAGGGCTCACCATCCTCATCGTGCGGAAGGACTGCCTCGTCGATGTCGACGCCGCCGCGAAACTCGGTGCGGTGCCTGTCCCTCTGACCATGGCGTACAAGACGCTTGCGGACAGCGCCAGCGTTTACAACACCCCGGCTGTCCTCCCCATCTACATCGCGGGGCTGGTGCTCAAACGCTCGCAGGAGCTGGGCGGCGTCAAGTATTACGAGGAGGTCAATAAGCGAAAGGCCGCAAAGCTGTATGCCGTCATCAAAGAGGGGGAAGCGAAAGGCGTGGTCCGGGCCAAGGTCAAAGAGGGCTCGGGGAGCCTCATGAATGTCGTGTTTGATGTGCTCGGCGACGGGGCAGAGGCTAAATTTATCTCGGGCGCCGAGGCGCTGGGGATGAAGGCGATTAAGGGCCACAGGTACGGGTCATTTTCATTCATCACGGTCGAAATTTCACTGAATGTGTCCAAGGTCGGTTGGGGGTAAGCGCCGTGCATTTTTAGCTGATGAAGACTTGAATTATTGTACCAGGGATACGAGTTTCGTTATACAACGCTGTGACCGAGGAGCAGACAGACGCTCTGATCGCCTACATGAAGGAATTTTTGGCTCAATAGGATTGACGGCAGAAATTACAAGAGAAGTGTCGTATGTAAAACCTAGGAGAAAAATAACATTGCCACTGACGCGCTCGATCGAGTATGAAGAATTTACGGGTGTTACATTATATATGTCGGTGCAGCAGTGCATGTCACAGTAATAAATATTGAACTTCCTGTACGAGGGAGGGTATGGCTCGGAGTTTCGCTATACAACGGCGTGGCCGAGGAACAGATAGACTCTTTGGGCTCAGTAGATCGTTGTAAGGTGGATAGTGGTAATTACAAGGCAAGTGTTGCATGTAAACTCTGGAATACATTGCTCCTGACGCGCTCTCTTGAGTATGAAGAGGTTCCGAGTCCGGTCCAGCCATGTGAGAACATCCATCGCAGTAACAAATACTCGATTCCGTGCACTTCATCCCATGAACATGACGTCCGATCGCAGAACATATTTTACACCGCCCAGAACAGGGGACCCTTCGTGTAGCATGCAATCTCGCCCGTGCCTAAATATATGTTTATTTACGGCCCAAGCGGTCGACCGCCAACATACCGATGTAAAAGAGCAGTCCCACGAGTCAGAGGCGCCTTGATGACATCCTTGGAAGCGTTTCCGCTCGGGTAGAATAATGTCTGAGCGGAACTGAGATATTTCGACAGCGAGAAAGCTGAGATAATGTACCTCACCCCCTTCAACTCCGTCTTCGTAGCCGGTTAAATAAATGAGAAGTGTCCACTCGGACTTGGCCCCAGTCATGGCGTCTCGGCAGTCGTCGTCGTAGTGCGGTCTAAGCACGCGCTTGAGAAAGCGGCAGTTGAAAACAGAAAAATGACAAACCCAAAATGCTGGAGCGGGGTATATTTGTATACCCGTATATTTGAATTAAAAGAATGCGCGTCGCGGGCGGCTCCAACGTTAGTGCCCTTGCTTCCTCTTGCGGGTGGAAACGGAGGAAGATGTGGGGCGAATGCAGCATGTAGGCGCTTGGCAAAATCGACGGACGTGATAGAAAATCTGTCTGCAGGTCGTAATTAGACCAGGTCTCGAATTATCGCGCTCAGGGTGTACCCACGGTTGTGTCTCTCGGCTTCACCGCGTTTCTTGGGTGGGGTAAGCTCCAGTGGCAGGCTGTCAATAAATTTCACAAAGGATTTACACTCGGCAGCGGAGAAAATGTCCTGGAGGGGGAAGTCAGTCATCCAGATGGCGGTTATATCGCGGCTACAAACATCGATTATGATGAGTTGGTCGTCGAGGAGGACTCGACATTGGAGCTCAGACTTGGGTGATATGTTCGGAAATACGATGGAGGATTCGACGTTGCTCGTGGCCACGGCTTTGGCGCCCCGTTCCTTTTTTCCCATGGAGGTAAGCGGCAGCAATCGAGACCAGCGTCGGTGTGAGTCGGTATGTGGGACTAAGTGGGACTTGGACTGTATCAGGACTGTGATCGAATTCGGAGCTCGGACCGAGCTAGGTATACTTCGTCGATCGATCACAGGCTCCATCTCGACAAGAAATAACGCTCTACCAGGCTCTACCCAAGGTCTACCAGCCGGGTCCAGCGGATGCACTTGCAGAAATGAGAAGGGAACTGCTTGTCAGGACAGTATCGAACTTTGTTCTGGCGATTCCTGCCTGCACGTCCCCGGAGGCAAAAAAAGCAGTTGAAGAATGCCAATTTACATATCTCTTCCCTTCCCCCCCTTCCCGGAAAGCAAAATAATAATTATGCTGCCCCCGAGAGGGTCGAACTCTCGATCTCACGATGTGTTAACGGGAGTTCTGCTGATTGAACATAACAGTCGTGCGCCTTAACCAGCTGGGCCAGGGGGCATTGAGAACATTCAGCGAGTGGCATACTTATTCGGAGGTCCCAAAGGCAGAATATCATTATTGGACGGAGTCTGAGTGACATATTGAATTGGTGAACATTTTTTTTTTTTTTTTTTTTTTGGTGGAGTGTTTGTTTAACAGGGAGGAATAGCATAAACACCACCTGTCCTCATCCAGGGCCGACCAAGTCGTCCCCTCCCTGTCCGCTGAGATTGAGGCCTTGGACTGAAAACCCAGCCAGACGTTACATTCACCCAAAGAAATGCTCAGAAGCACCGCACCCGATCACTCATGACACTGCATGTGTAAGACTTGGTTAGAGTCTAGCAAAGGGGAATCATTGTCCGATGACCCTGGCAGGAGATAAGGCTTGCAAAGTGGTTGCCTGCTGGCAACGACCCTGCTCGAAGGTGTGAATAGATCGAGAACGGGTAATAGAATAAAGGCTTCATAGCTCTGAGCCTGTATTCAATAGTGTAGTGTTGTATGGAGTTGCCTAGTGCGCAGTGCCGCATCTCAGAGTGTGTCTACGAGTACGGCTTGGCACTCGGGTGAAGGTGTGAGAGTGTAGTATAGTTGCCTAGTGCCTATAGCCTCTTCCTGGAGTGACTCAACAGGTAAGGCTCGGCGACGAGGAGATTGGGCATGATGGTGATGGTTTGTGGTAAAGATGATGATTATCAGGTGATCCAAGAGTACATGTGACTTGTAGCTAAAGAGTAATTAAAATAGGTAAACCATTCCTTACAGAGCCCCCCACTCTTCAGCTGCAAGAAGAGTATATGTGCGAAGGGAGGGCCTGGCGGGAAAAGAAAAAGTGACGAACATCAAAAGAAATGAAAGAAAAATTTTCACACTGCTTTCCATCCTCAAGGCATATCCATCTCCGCGGTCAAGCCCTTCTCCGAGTCCCTTCCATTGTTAGCACTCCAGCTCATCTCTGTCTCAGTGGAAACTCACCGTGATGGAGAGAAACACTCAAAGAACAGAACAAAATCTAAGACCGTTGATTGGGGGTGTAAGCAAGTAGAACAGAGTATATGGAGTGGGTGATGGTGGGAGGAAAGAGAGCGTGAGTATGTGGCGTGACATATTGGTAAGTAAATCCGAGATCGGGTTTACACCCTTCCCCTCCATGAAAAAGATCGACCGTACCTCGCCAAAAAAAAAGGGGAGAAAAAGGGGAGAGGGAATGTAAGTAGGAGTGATAAATGCGTGCCCGCCACCGACGGAGTCAAAGACTCGCCCACAATGGGGAAGGTAGCGACCGCAGGACGAAAACAAAGGTTCTGCCAGCCGGCCTAATCATCTCGTGCGAGCCATCAATTGAGGGCCTCGCAATGGGCTACTTTGCTCCCGGGGAGCCACCGGTCGCCTTTGGGTCCGTAGCCGGTGAATCACACCAAATATTGTTTTCCGCATCCCCGTGGGCGTTCGTCAATAATAGAGTCGCTGTACCATTCGTCCTCTCCCTGTTCGTTAACAATTGGGTCGGGTTCGGCGAGCTTGCGGGAGGGGAAAAGTTCGTTGTTGTTTTCGATGTACAGTTCGAGTTCGGAGGCTTGGAAAACCAGAAAAACATCTGGTTGATTTGGTAAGTCTAGCGTGTAAGTTGAGCACTCGTCGTGCTTAGCGGTGATAGTGTAGGGGCCGTCGAAGCGGGCCATGTATTTCGCGACTCTGTTGTCACCCTTCTTGAGGTATTCGGCACGTCGGTGGATCGTTGTGAGCTTTACGCGATCGCCTACGTTGAGGGCATGATCGGATTTGCGGGTCTTGTTCGCCTGTTCGGCCTGGGATAGTTTGGCCGCAAGCAAGTTGTCCTTCACCTCTGCAACGTCGAGCTGCAGCTGCGCGATAATTTCTGAGGCCAATTTTTCTTCGGGGGCAGCGTTATCCACGGGAGTATCAATGAGCGGCGGAATGATGCGAGGCGAGCGGCCCATCTTGAGTTCAAAACCTGAGAATCCAGTAGATGCGTTCACAGTATTCATCATATCGAAACGCACACGTGGTAATGCGCGGATCCATCCGCGCTGATTGCGAGCAACGTGGTATCGAACAGCTTGATTTACTGTCTTGTTTGTTTGTTCGCTCGATCCGTCGGTTTGTGGGTGCCAAGCGGTTGAAAGTTTTAATTTCACACCAGTTAATTTGTGTAGGGCCTTCCAGAAGGCGGAGACAAAAAGTTTGTCACGGTCCGAGATGATCTCCAGCGGCAGTCCGTTCTCGCAGTACCAGTGTTCGAAAAACAAAAGCACTGATACGGCGCGTCTGGCGCTAACCGTGAAATCCCACTATTTTGCGAGTCCTAGGACTATTCCGAGTCCTAAGGCTACCTTGCCCGGTGCTATACAATTAGGATCAGAGCTGAGCTCCGAAGCTGCTGGTCATATATCAATGATGCTGAGAGAACCGTAATGTTATCCTGGGCATACTACGGCTTGGTCCCATTCCATGGGGGTCGGCATAGTAGTCCAAGGGGTATCAGGAAGTTCATTAGATGTAGTCCACAACCTATACCTAGGGGCGGGTTACACTACAAAGAGCTAGGTATTACCAAGGGGGTTAAACCAAAAGCCTAGACGAAGATTAAGTACCAAGTTAGACACAGACGGCTGGATGGAACCAGTCTGAGGAACAATAAGTCACCGTCCAAGGACAAGGACTGTGACCGGACATGATCATGTTCGAGGGCTTACTACAGTCCGAGGACTATGTTGAATATGATACTTATGATGTCCCGAGGATCCTTGTGGGTGCCCCCGGACCGCTCATACGAGCAGTAGGAGACATTATTGACGTCTGAGGAGCCCTTGCGGGTGTCCACTGACCGCTCACACGCTTACAACAAGAACACTTAGATGTCCTAGGAGTCCATCGCAGATGTCCCGGGACCACTCCAGGCCGTTCCATGGACACAATTCCGGTGGATTCCAGAATGATCAGAACATGTGACAGGCACGATGCGTCCCAAGGAACCAAACTAGACCAAAGTGATCGGTGGATGATCAATCACAGCAGGCTGAAATGTTGAGGCTGAGCCGTCGAGGACGTAGACGGCCGGCAGAGGTACTCCGTGGCTTACTCACTAAGCTGGACAAATGGGATGGATTAGCAACCATGCCGGGGCAGGACGCAAGTGTCCGAGGAGCCAGGACGAACACGAATAGGTTCGGCCAGTCCGAGGGCTTTTGAAATATACCCAATATAGGCCCTAGGAGTCAAAGGATATGACTACTAGGTGCCGAGGACACCCAAAACTAGAGCGGCTAGCCGCGTATACCCTTCCTATCCCGCCCGGACTGTCTGTTTCTCTTATCTCATCGTATTTCTCATTACTCAGTTTCACTCTGTCATGTATCTCTCTATTTACTATAAAAGACCACGTAGAACACACCCTACAGCAGTTTATTCGTGCCCCAGTTCTTGCCTAGGCGGTTGCCAACAGCATTTGCTTGTCTAAGGGCCTTGCGTTCTCTGTATCAGCGCGGAGATTCGTTTATAAAACCTATCCTCTTGTGTAGATCCATTAACAGGAAGTTTGAGTGTTGGCTACATTTGTGCTTTAAGGTCATCTAAGCCCCTACTGTCTGTGGCCTTGCTGCAGCAGTTTGTATCAAAGGTTCCTTGTTAAGTGGCAAGGTCATCTATTGGAATCAGCCCCGTTTAGCAGGCTGGTCGTAGATTGTTCTTGGAATCAACCCCGTTTAGCAGGTTGGTCGGAATTCACAGACCCCCCTAGGACATCTTTGTTGGTGGTCCGAGGAAGTTCGATTGTTGGCTGCTTTAGTGCTTTAAGGTCATCTAAGCCCCTTACTGTGTTGTGGTCCTGCTGCACCAGTTTGTATTCAAAGGTCCCTTGTTAAGTGGCAAGGTCAGGCATTGGAATCAACCCCGTTTAGCAGGTTGGTCGTGTATCAAACGAGCCATTGGAATCAGCCCCGTTTAGCAGGCTGGTCATGGTCATCTATTGGAATCAGCCCCGTTTAGCAGGCTGGTCGTAGATAACTCTTGGAATCAACCCCGTTTAGCAGGTTGGTCGGAGTTCCCAGACCCCTAGGCCCCATTGTTGGCAGTCCTAGGACACCTTATCTCTCTCCCACCCCCACATTCCGTGGCCCGGGAACCCCAAGTGTAAGGGATGAACCGAGTTTACTGTTCGAACACTATATTTTTTGACTGACTAGCCTCACTCCGAGCGAGTTGTACCTGTATTCGAATATTGTTGGTAGATTTAGTCACCATCATTAGCACATGACAAGAATTATCTACACTTAACCCAAACTTTCATCGCCCTCTGCCGGCTCATCTCATTCCTCATCAAGTACCTCCGAGTCCTCGTCGAGTAACTCCGAGACACCGGCGCTAAGGCGATTATCCGTGTCTCCGACATGGACTCAGACTTATATACTCTTATCGGGCTTTATCAGGCTCATACTTGTGCAATCAGTCGACTCTCGCTCTGCTGAATATTCGGAGGAGTCGACAGCTAACTGTAGGGAAGAGGATATCCACTTCCTAGCAGCATCTGTCTCCGAGTAGAACGTGTACACGGGTCCATACCACAGTAAAAGCTTCTCGATCTCGCTTAGGAAATTCTGTCCGACTCGAATCCCCGTAAGACTTTGAGCGAAGCCTTACAAAGTGGACTCACTGGGGAAGTCGACACCCTGGCTGGTTCGAGTTCAAACCACCCGATACCTAACGCGGCGTCTTTCCGAGGAGGAAGCCGCCTACAGTATACCAGTCCTTATCTGGAGTCAGTGAGAGCTTGATTTCTAGCTCCCACCAAAGCATCCGCTGCTAAATCTATCCACTACGTCCCGGAAGAGCTGGCAGAAACTCCAGCTCATAAACACGGGACCTCCAGATTGGTTTCGCGCTCCGTTTCTCCAAAAAAGGAGCCCATTCCGTTAAGAGTTCCTACGACTACTGTGACTAGCCCAGTTTTGAAGAATCGCCTCCGATTGTCTTCGAGAGGAAGAGCGCCCAGCACGC